TGTAATTGTCTGAGACCAGTCAGTGGGTGAATAAATGAACAAATCAATGGATGAATTGCATGTGATTAGCTTAGAAATTATTGATCAGCAATGATTCCAGATACCCCCATTCCTGATGTCCGCTCTTGCTGCTCCCAGTCCCCAAGGAGGGTCATCATCTGCACTTCACACCAGCAGAGCTTTCTACTTAAAATACAGGAAGAAAAGAGTGATGACTGGATGCACTTTCAAATTCATTATTGTTTCCATGACTTTAATTAATGTAAATATAGGCAAGCGTATATTTTGCGCACCAAATGGTAATTCAGAAAAAGTTAAAATACGGAGAATCACATGATTTGCTTTGGGAACCATCATATCAACCTTCAGATGTGGTCACGTACAAAGCAACCCACACACTTCCCAGTTTGTAGGCATGGGATTCACTGTCTACCTAGAGAAAGACACAAACATAATGAGCCTCACCTGGAGGACTTGAGGTTCCCTCCAATGGACTTAACCATGTGACTACCAGTCATGCACAAGTCTTAAAGACCCTGCAGATTTTGTTATTTTACCCATTCTGTTTATAATCAGCTTCAGTTTTTAATTTGATTTTGAAGTTGTAGTTAATCAAAAGATGTTTTACTTCTAGGACTACATTTTCATTTCCTTCCAGCCAACACTGCAATAACTGAAGTTTCAGCAACTTATTCCTCATTAAATGCCCATTAGAAACACCTTCTCCTCTGTGTGTTTTGGATGATCGCTTGTATTTTGGATTGCCTTTTTAGAGTACTTACGCTTTTTCACTGATAATCATACTTTGTTTCCTTTTCATATGAAAGTTGAATTTTTATTTTTCTTATTTTGTTTTCCTTGTCAACATTCCAGATTGGGTTTTATGTAAATGCTTCTTGGAAAATATATAAATATTACATCAATATCCAAAAGAGGGAAAAATTTATTTCAATAAAATAGTATTAATACATATAACATTCCAATTTCCTTTTACTAGGCCTCTAGGTATGCTAGGGGAAAAAAATCCAGCTACAGAGTTGGCATAATCTCTATTAGCTTAAAATATTAATAATTAATTTAGCCCAAAGGTCAACTTTTTAACAGAAAATACTTGGTCGTTCTTAATAAAATATTTAAAGAGTGAAAAATACCCGAAATAAAAAAATTTAAAAGAATTTGTGATAACTTGAAAGTAATCAGCATGCTCTTCTCCTTGGGGGCCAATATTCAGAAAAAGCAGTTCATTTTTATTGACAATATAGTGATATTTGGCAAGTTGGGTATTTTTCCCCTATTTAAATTTTTAAAAATTTAGTGTTGGACACCTGCCAGACTGGCAGCACTGGAAATCTAAGTTACTGCGTGGAATTGGCTCTCCATCAAACTGTGTTCCTCAGGTTGGGGATATAGGTTTTTGTGCAAGTTTTTTTATTTTTTTGCCCCCGTACCTTAATTACTTTCCCCCTACGGCACAGCCATTAATGAATCAGAGACACCACTAGAGAAGAGACTGACCCACTTCATCCCTGGTGAGAAATAACACTTATTTCTTAGTTTATGAGAGAAGAATTTGAATGGAGAAAGAAAAAAGACTTAAAGTCAGAGGAAAAAAAAGATTCTTCTCCCTTTAGGCACGATAATGGATCATGTACTCCTGGTTGTTAATATCATTTAATAGGCTGTCTGCATAGTTTCTAACCCCATTTGAGTAAATCACAGGAAATGCCTGAACCTCATTGAAGATCCTGCTTCTTCCCCTATAGAAATGTTGACTGCAATGGTTAAAAGGGCCCTTGTGCTGCAAAGACAACTCACAGCTACGTTTGCATCACTTCTAACACACGCTGCCCAGGTGATCAACTATTCTTCCAGGAACAAGAAACTTTATATCCCCTAAGTGAGCTCATTGGAGAGATAAATATTCTTTTTATTGAGTCAAAATGTCTCTTCTTCCTAACTCAGACCCTAAATGGCGCTGTAGTCGCTGGAGTTAGTTTCATCCCTTAGGCCCAGTCCGGTTCCTGGGAAACTCTCATGCTGGATTTTAGACCATCCTCCTCTTTCTAGTCAAATCAAAGTTAATACAAAAATAATCATTCTCATATATTATTGTCACTTCTGTCTCTAGGCCTGTCTCCAAGTGACCCCAGATTAAATGACCGCATTTCATATTGTGAAAGGGATGATACTGAATGTTACAAAATCCTGGATTAGTAAGAAAATGAGAAATTCTCAGTTTACAATTTTAAATATATAAAATGCCCAAAATAACTTTGCTCTAAAAAAGTGTTGATCATAACAAAACACAGTAAAATTCTCGATCTGAACAGAACAGCTCCTTGTTCTAAGACCCAGATAAGCAATATCACATAGAAACCACCTCAGACGACTTTGTTTTTCTTCTAGACATACGGTCAAACCAAAAGAAGCATATATATTAGCCAAATAGAAATTAATAGAAACCACTGAAAATGGGCTTCTGCTTTTACTCAGAATTCCCAGAAGGGTGGGGTGAGTAACCAATTAAGGGCTAATTTTCTGGTGTCTCAACTGTTAACATTTACACTCTTTATAAGAAGTGTCATAGTCGGTAAACTACAGCAAAATGATATGCATGACAGTTGCACATTTTTGTCCTGTAATACATGTTGTTGGTGATTAAAAAATTCAGAGGAGTGACAAACGTTAATGAATTCTGCATGCCACAAATAGTGAATTACCCTTCCTAGAGCAAATGCTGAAGAGAAAAGTGACAGAATATGAGATTAGAATGGCATATTTAGAGAATGTGCATAATAGTCTATCTCCGTCTACTGATTCAGGCACCAACTGAAATCAGCTGCTTAAATGCGGACATGCCTAGGTGTCTTCCAACCTTGGAAATTCACATTGACCGCTTCATAGAAACTTATTGAAAATCCCATTTCTCTATGCCAGAGAATGGCTGACCCTCTTGGAAAATAAAGCAAAAGTTGGTAGGCAGGTAGTCTGAGTGGAAGAAGTAATTTCTGCGGCTTTCCCAGGTAAAAGCACTCCGTCTCTATTTCACTCCACCTGAAGGCAGCTGCAAATGTGTATGCGACTTATTGTCATGGGACAGCAGAACTCCTGTTCCACAAGCCAGTGCTCCAAAGGAGCGTTAAGGCTTTCCAACTGTGGCATCAAGATAAACTTCTGCATTTGAGAGATCATGTGGTTTTTTTTTTTATTATACTTTAAGTTCTGGGATACATGTGCAGAGCATGCAGGTTTGTTACATAAGTATACACGTGCCATGGTGGTTTCCTGCACACATCAACTAGTTATCTACATTAGGTATTTCTCCTAACGTTATCCTCCCCTAGTCCCCGACCCCTGACAGGCCCCAGCATGTCATGTTCCGCTCCCTGTGTCCATATGTTCTCATTGTTGAACTCCCACTTATGAGTGAGAACATGCGGTGTTTGGCTTTCTGTTCTTGTGTTACTTTGCTGAGAATGATGGTTTCCAGCTTCATCCATGTCCCTGCAAAGGACATGAACTCATTTTTTATGGCTGCATAGTATTCCATGGTGTATATATGTCACATTTTCTTTATCCAGTCTATCACTGATGGGTATTTGGGTTGGTTCCAAGTCTTTGCTATGTGAAAAGTGCCACAATAAACATACATGTACATGTGTCTTTATAATAGAATGATTTATAATCCTTTGGGTCTATACCCAGCAATGGGATTGCTGGGTCGAATGGTCTTTTTGCTTCCAGATCCTTGAGGAATCACCACAGTGTCTTCCAGAGAGACCACACGCTTTCACTGCTGGTGCGCACACTCCTACATTTTGCAGTAGCGCAGTTCTGAATGAGCTGACGTACAACAGTGCAGCAGCACTTCTTTTTCTAATAAAGCCTGTCAAGTTTGTTTAGCTGAAAATCACATTTGTGGCTAAATGTAACCATTTAATTTTCTTGAGTTTATAAAATCTTTTGATCTGATTGCTTCAAAAATGCTGAGCAATACAAATATAAAACATTTTCCTGGATTCAATAGTTTCCCCTGTTTCTAACATTATAGGCAGGATAAGTTGATGTGAGGGTAACTATGTTTAATATGTTGTATAATATGATGTATGTGAGAGACTTTTAAATGGAAATAATACAATAATTTCTCAGGTAGTATTTTTTTGTGTATTTAAAACTTCACTCATTTTAAGGCTGTTTGGTTTGGTTTAAATGTGGAAAGTCCTCTCTAAAGAGAGATGAAGAGAAATGGTTTTAAAATACTGTATGTGTTTACTTTAAGAACATTTCCTTTTTTCTCAATAATCTAATTCAGACTCAGTGACAAAAATAAGTAAAAAATTTCCATCTACTGAAGACCTCTGTGAGAAAGCCACTTCATTTGCCCTCTCATTTATCTGGACAGTATTTTAACTAAAATAAACAAAACAGTTCTTGTGTCTCTTGCCAATACCCATGTATCTTTTATTTCTAACTGGCAAGAAAGAAGTATCATAAACATAAGTCACAGAGAAAAACAGATCTGCTGGTGGCTAATGAGAAAGATTTTAATATGACCCTGGTATGGATGACTTCCTATGAGCTGGTCAAAGTCTTGTCTGGAAAAAAGATAATAAAACAAAACAAATGCCTAGAAATAAAATCAAAGCAAACAGGACAAAAGTAGAAAACTGAATTTCCACAAAAATCCAAGAACCCTCCACATGCATATAAACCACCCCTTTGCTTCATCTGAAGGTTGTCTGCTTGCTCTTAGAAGCTAAGAAGTCAGAGCTATTTACCATTACTCCAATAAGCCAAGCAATTTTTTTCACCTAAACTGGATCTTCTAAGTTTCCATCTAAATAAAACAAGCACACTCAAAGAATTTGCTTCTGAAAGGAAGTAGAGTTTAATACTCCATTTTAGTGACTATGTAAATCATACAGTGTCTTATAAACAGAGCAAGTTTATTTCCAAGAAAGATTATAAACGATACCACTGTCTTTTGGGAAGCCACTTACCTGATTCAGACAACTTTAGCAGTCAGTCTTTACATCATCGAACCTTCTATGTCTTCCCCCAAGTCCCTCAGTTTATGTTCAAACAGCCATCTGTTTTTCAAGTAACCAAGTAAACATAACCTGTTCATATGGAAGCTATTGACTTATGTAGCTAATAAATATTACACAAACCAAGGAACAGTGGTAGGGTTATGACAAACAGCATTCTGTTCCCTGTAAGAAATGTATGATATAACAAAATGATTGCCAATACCATACTTTATGCACTCAATTGAGGATTTTCCAAACATTTTTACTATATTTATACCAAATGCATCATGTGGCATATTGATTTGACTTTATAGACAATTTTCCCTATAAAAACTAGAGTAAGGGAAAAAAAACACTCCATCAAAATTATGAACTTACAAAAGAGGGAAAACCTGGAAATGCATTTGAAGTGGTAGTCTTCAAGAAATAAAGCTAGAAATTTGTTCTGGAAGAACTATATAATGATGTCAGACTGCCTGAACCATAACCAAAAGTTCACAGCTAGGATCAATTATGAGAAACTGATTCTCTCACTTGCATTGGACAGCATGTGTGTGTGAGCTCATTATCAATGACATAAGTAGCGTGGTGTACATCTCTAACACAACTGTGTGTGTGTGAACAAGCACAGTAAAGTGTCTTACAAGATACCAAGCATTAACAGGTGACGGTTTTGAGGGGGAGTTGTTTTGGAGGGTCATAGGTAGGGGTTAGGCATCACAATGGAGCTCTAGTCATGTTTATTGAAGTGCTGACAAGATCCTTCGGCCAAAGTGTCACATCCCATTCTCTTGGCCTTTCCCAAAATCATTTCTCTCTCTCCCAGAGAGATTCACTGAGCAGTTAAATATCATGCGTAATAGCCCTCTGACATAAGAAAGAGATTATATTTAATAGATTTGAATATCCTTTTTCCTATCATGCTTAGCATTTTTCACAATTCAGGAACTTAATTGGTTTGCAAAGGTACAGAAAAAGAAAATGATTTCTGGATTTCATATGTAGTACTTTCTTGCCCCCTACTGGAACATATGAACCTGGCATACTAAGAATTCTAATGCTAAAGTGTTTTCCAAAAGATCTTTCCTATAAGCCAGTTCACAAACCCATACTTACTTCAAACAAAAATAAATGTAGTAGGTGTAGAAGTTTAATACCATCAACTATGCATTTTATTAAAAAATAATGAACTTGAGAAATCCAATTTATTTTTAAAAAGTACCCTCAGGAGTACAAAAGTCAATTTTCCAAATGCATAGTAAAAGTAAATCTACCATATTAAGGTGAAAACGGGTACAATTCTTTGTAAATAGAGCTTAAGGGGAGCTTACCATTCAACTGGATTTGCAAAGATTATAAAGCAACCATGTTTTCTGCTTTTTAAATTCACGACTTCATGGGCACCAAAAAACTCCATTAGAAAGGGTATTTCACTATTATCTTATTTTTGAAGGCACCATGCAGTTTTTCTTGAGAAATATTTTTAACACAGAGACCCTGGGTTCCCTGGGTCACGGTTTGATCATTTCTTCTGCAGCAGTGAGTTACGAACGTTCTCTATCACTGAGACAACCATCACTACTTCTTGGATATTTTACCTTTTGTGGTTCAAGACCTCTAAATTCCTTTATGCAAATACAGCTAATCATGAATTGCAACCCATGGAATGATTAATGTTCTTTGACAACATTCTTTTGTCATCCGATTCCAGTGACTGAGGTCGACAGCCAGAATGACCAGCCCTCAAACAGAGAAGAGGCCACTCTTTGTGGGGCACACTGCTGGGATGCGCCTCTGGCCTCTTTCAGTCTCTGGCACCCAGGAGGGAACTACTGCTGGACTGAAAGACTGAAAGAGCCTCTGAAAGAATCTTTGTGGGGAGCTTCTCCATCGTAAGCCACATGGAGCTTTTTACTCAGTGACCTGAATCACTCAAAGGATAGGTCACTACCGCAGTAAGGCAGGAACGCCTCACAAGGGCAGGCAGGCACACCCGATGAAGCAAAAGAGCCTCCCCTTTCTGGCATCTCTCCTCCAATACGGAATGTCTTCAAAGGCCAGTTCTTGGACAAGAGCCAGATACTAAGACAAGTGCTGCTCACGAAAGGCACTGAGCAGATGTGACTGTCAGCAGATCTTTTCTGTTCTTCCCAGTCCTTGACTTCAGTCTATGGAGGGTTCTGTGTCTCCTCGGGGTGAAAATTACCTGGATTCCTTTCATGCTAAGTGCTACTCCTCAGTTCCAATTCTTTTCATGCAAACACAGAGCTAGCCAGGTGAGGCAGGGGCATTATTATCTTTGATGATGGTCTTTGAAACCCATATTACAAACATCTCCTCTACTCTAGTGTGTTAGGCAATTCTCAAGTAGCTATAAAGAAATACCTGGGACTCAGTAATTTATAAAGGAAAGAGGCTTAATGGGTTCATGGTTCCACAGGCTGAACTGGACGCATGGTGATGACATCTGCTCAGCTCCTGGGGAGGCCTCAGGAAACTAACCGCCATGGTGGAAGGAGAAGGGGAGGCAGATATCACACACGGCTGAGACATGAGCAGCAGAGAGCAGGGACATGCCGCACACTTTTAAGCAACCAGATCTCATGAGGACTCACTATCACGAGAAGAGCACCAAGTGGATGGCATTAAACCATTCATGAGAAACCCACCCCATGATCGAATCACCTCCCACCCGGCCTCACTTCTAACAATAGGGATTACAATGCAATTCAACATGAGATTTGGCGGGGGGACACAGATCCAAACCATATCATGACAAATATTCTTTCCTGTTGGTATACTTTAAAATGGCAGCTCTCTGGGGGTCAGGGAGAGGTTAGAAAGCCGGAGTGTTAGCACTTAGAATGCTTGAGGGGTTTGAACCTTTTAGGACTAAGACATTCACTTCAGCATAGGTACCAAAAATGCCTCCACAGAAAAAAATTAACTGCTGTATAAACAGCAAATGCCAAATCTCCTGGCTGATCTTTATGTAATCAGTGCAGAATGAGCATCTTCCAAATTTTTAGCAAACAAAAATGTGTATTACCAAGCTCTGGTGAATAATTCCACCCCTTCCTTTACAGTAGTAAGGGTTAGAAACTGGGGACACTAAGAAGGGAATGACTTAAGTTGAACTGAAATGTGAAAACACTTAGTTCAGGGATGATCCTGCCCTATGACCTGCTACAGAAGAAGTACTGTGCAGTTGTCAACCAATTTTGAAAGCATGGAGAGATGACCATTCATCTCACAGATGTATCCCCCAGTCTAACTCCACCCCATGGGGAGTTAACTGCCAGGACAACTTTTGAAGATAAAAATCAGTAATGCAAGGTCAATGGCATTTCCCCAATCTTTTTCCTCCTGATTTGTCTGCCTGAATATTGACTGTCTCCTCAAAATTCAGTTTTGTTTGTTTGTTTGTTTTGAGACAGAGTTTTGCTCTTGTTACCCAGGCTGGAGTGCAATGGCACGATCTCGGCTCACCGCAACCTCCGCCTCCTGGGTTCAGGCAATTCTCCTGCCTCAGCCTCCTGAGTAGCTGGGATTACAGGCACATGCCACCATGCCCAGCTAATTTTTTGTATTTTTAGTAGAGATGGGGTTTCACCATGTTGACCAGGATGGTTTCGATCTCTTGACCTCGTGATCCACCCACTTGCCTCAGCCTCCCAAAGTACTGGGATTACAGGCATGAGCCACCGCGCCCGGCCCACTGGTTCTATTTTAAGGAAAAGAAAACTAGCATGGTATGATGGTCATGAAATCAAGTCATTTACATACCCATGACTCTGGTTGAAATATATTAATATATTTGGAATATCTCTATATAAGTAAAGTGATTTCATTATCTGAAATTAGAGGGAAAGTGTGTAATTCACTCTATCCTAGGCCTATTTTCTAAAATTCAAGATACAGAACTATTAAATATTCAAACAAGAATTATCTCAGATCTGAATCTGTTTCCTGAGAAAAAAATTTATCCTACCTTCAAATACAGGGAGGTAGAATCTACATGTTAAAAAAAGAGTCTTTTATAATCTTCATAAGTACATATCAAGAGAGCCATCCACATTCCCACTATCTAAATACATAGGACAGTGAGATTGCCTGAAACAGAGCCATGGCCATTCCCAACCAGTTGTCAGTGGACAGGTGGCATTTCTGGGCATCACCTCTTCATTGCTTTGGGATTCCTGATTCAGAACACACAGAGGCTGCAAGAAGCTTTTGAGGAGGGGGGGCCTCCGTGTCCTCACCTCAACTGTATGCATTGCCTTTACAATGAGCAACACAGAAATCTTTACTTCCCATTACCTCCAAAGATTTTAATCTCAAATCTTCTGCTCTTCAACTCCTGTGGAAGCTCGACTGAAGTGGCTGATTTTCCAAGAGCATGTGGTCTTTAGCCCTACAGGAGTCCACCTTACAAGCCAAGTTCTGATTCTCAAGAAAGTCACAATCGGAAATTAAATAATCAAACTTCATCGAACTCTCCATTTGTGGTTTTACAGATAAGCCCCTCACAGTTGCTCCATACAATGGTTAGGTGAGGGAACACAAGTAGGTAGAAAAGGAACAAATTTAAATGACCTCAAACTTTTATGTTTTAGCTGATATGTGAGGCCTTTGCCGCAATCCCTGGACTTCTGCCCTCTGTCCATTCTGCACTGTCTCTCAGTGTACCCTCTAGTACATAAAATTAGAAGAAACAGGTAATTAGACAAAAAACCCGTTTATTCACTTACTAACTTTTAATTTCACCTTAAAGAAAAGTACTCTCTCATGTTTCTTTGATGATTCCTGCCTCTTTGGGAGAATCAGTGTTGTGGTTAGGCCATTATTTTAAAAAATAAGTAACTGTGGCTTACTTCAAAAATAAAATATGAATAACTAAAATGAATTTTGATTTCTTTTGACTGCACAAATTATTCTGAAAGCTAACAGCTCTGCACATTTTTAAAATAGATTCAATCATTCAAGCTCAATCACAAATTTTCTACCCCATAATAATTTCTAATCATTTCACAGTGCACACACACCGCATCTAAATGCCTTCTTCAACATGTCAAAATAAAATTCATATCTATTACCACACCTCTGAACCATCAAACCATTCAAAATGAAGATCATAAAATGAAGGTACATGGAAATGATATGTAATGCCACAATAGAATGTATTCTGCAGGGCTGAGCCTGCCAAACTCCAACATCACACTTTTAACTCAACAGTATTTTGCCTTTGAAATAATTTATTTTTCACTTTCTAAATACATTCTAATATTTACAACTTAAACCAAACTGTGCTTGAAAGACAACAGCCATACTAGAACTGAAGATAATATCACTTTTGGGGATTATCTATACAGTTAACATTGTCAATATCATTATTAGATTTCCTCATTCCATTGATAAGGACATGGGAAAAATTCATGCAGTAGATCAGATTGTAGAAAAAAATCATTTATCTTCCACCAGCAAGAATAACTCATTAGTGAACAACTTAAAAACTTGAAGACTTGAAGACAGAATCATTTATGTACACTTCCCTTCTTCCAAGAAATAAACCATAAAATGACTCCTGTCACATTTCTCCTCCTCCTAACCCCAACCTTGTAAACACAAGAAAACACACAAAACTCCCAAGACCACCCTAACATACACAACACACACACCTACGTTTACACATACCTAGACTCACTCTCTCATCTGCACACATGCAGGTCAGAAAAACGCAGTTGAATCAGAATGCTGATGTCATAGGACTTCGTCCTGCAGTTCAATTTATTCTGGACCCCGTCTTAACAGAACAGAAACACCTCCTGATACTTATACACACCTGTGAATGGCATGCTGGACAGTGAAAGGCCTCATGACCCAAATCACCTGGAGGCATAAAGCAAGTATGTGGGAGGTATGCTTGACCCATTTTGATCATTGCTGGTTCTAAGTCAGCAATTGCTCCGTTTGGTATTGGAACAGACTCTCCTACCAGAGGATAGAGTTTGCCTGGAGAGAACAATCTCATTCCAAATTTATCTCGTCCCCATTTTCTTCCTTTAATTGGGCTACCCCTTTCCAAATACCTCCTCCCATTCTTCCTTTGACTAAAAACATGCTGAAGGATGCTGAAGACTAAAGCATGTTTTCCACTGAGCCTTCCATCAGGTTCTGGAGAACACCACACCAGCAGAGCAGGTGTTCCATCCCTGGCATTGCTAACTCGTTCCCATGGACTACTGGGGAGGATAAGACCTCACCGGGTGGGTCTTTAGGGCGAACTGAGAACAAATACTTTCTTATTTTCTCCCTCTTCTGTTCCCCACTAGACTACTATCTAATTAATCCTGTCTCCTCCCTTTACATGAGACACCCACCTCGCCGCCATGATAGAAGCACCCCCTTTCTAGTCTTCAGGTGTGTGTCCTACAAACTCAGCCACCTCAGAGTGTCAGTAGGAGCATGGTAGCTGTTCGCTGGTCTGGCCAACTTGGAGTGGTTCTATCCAAGGAGGTGCCGTGAGTGCCTTTCTTTACCAGAACAAGCCTTGTTTAACTGTTTGTAGCTCAGTCACTTTTCAAAGTTGGAATTTTTTTCCATTCAGTCATTTCAAAATGCCTTTGAATTTCTGCACATTTCTGTTGACTTGTATTTTGCGTTAATCTGCTTCCCAAAGCTTCCAACTTGAGCACCATCGTGGAATCCTTCTTTTGCATCGATAGAGTATGACTTCAGGAATCATTTGCATTTCTGGTTAAATGAAATGCTGTTTCCTGTTTGATAATTAAAATAATCTAGTTTTCATCTAGAATCTCTTCCCCCTTTAAGCTATTCCAAAATCCCCAACCCCAAACCCAAATCCCCCCATCCCCATTTCCAATTCCATACCCCACAAAAGAAGACAGGGCTCCCATCGTGCTGCTGGTTCCTCTTCAAAATCATTAGGCAGCCTCCATTCTGACAGTAGCAAGAGAAGGAGGAGAGTTCGAGGCTTTGATGGAGATACAGAAACACAGAAAATCACAAAATCTACTTAAATAATGTTTCTTTCTGAGCAAATTTCAGTGTCTTCATTTCTAATCAGGGAAGCCACTTTTTGGGTGAATTGGTTAAGTGGGTAAGCAAAAACTGTATCAACCAAACATCCAACCTTATGGAATTGCAGTCAGAAGGTATGCCTACTGGCCCAATCCCCTGAAAATAATGTTTCCAAAATAATAAACTTCATAGCTTGTATTAATCTTCTGTATGACTCATCACACTACCATTTACCTTTCCAGAAGACATTTTAGCAAATAACTTCCTCTCAAATCAAACTAGTTAGAAGTATGAGTTGAGCTTGCCTTTCAGCACCTTCAATCTATCGAAATCTCCTGCAGTTTTGTTCAGCTCTTTCATAGTCCTGTAAGGTGCTGAGCCCAGGACACTCACTTCTGTCCATAAGCAGTATTAATAGTTAACATTCCAGCACATATATTTGCAGGAATGGATATTCATTCTTAACTTCATTCACTTACTGAATTCAAATAATATTTCTTATACATTTTCTCTTGTCAAAGCACTATATTAGGAGCTAGGTAGATACAAAACCAGACAAAATATAGTCTTAACTTTAATGATATTTTGGTTATACATAAAACAGATATACAACAAAACACTAAACTAAGAGAAATGTAAATAAAGTGATTTGGGGTTCAAAGGAGGTAGGATTAACTTCATCCTAGCTGTTAAAATGAAGGATGGCTTTAAAAATAATGCGGCATTTGAACTAGAGAAGAATAGGCAGGATTTGATCATTTGGCTATGGTAGAGTTACAGTTGAAAGGAGAATGTCACGGCAGAGGGAGGAGGACCACAAAGGTAAGAAAGTGAAAGGTATGGGAGCAGGACCAGTATTTCCCTCAACTTGCCTGCAGCCAAGGTTCACAGATGTGATGGGAAACACACTAGTCAGAGCGTGTTGAAACTAGATCAGGGAAAGCCTGGCATGCCAGCTGAGAAACTGCTCTTTAAGGGGAATGAAAAACAAATCACTAAAGGATATGGAGCATGTGAATAAATAATGTCCCCCTCTAAGTAGTAGAGGGGAACAAGTTAGAGAAAAGACTATTAGACTACTGCAATAGACTACACAGAGGTGAAAGGAAAAAGGCCAGGGTATGACAGCTGCCTCAGAGGCAGAGATACAGGACTTAGCAAATGGATGTGAGGGAGAAGCAAAGGAGAGGGAATCATAGAGCCTTGAGTAACTGGGAGAATCACGATAACCTTCAGAAGCAACACAGAGAAGGAAATAGAAGATAAGTTTATTTCCATACCTGCACATTTGTCTACTATTTCTGCAAATTGTAGGTATAACTGCAACCCAGCAAAGTGTGCCAAGTTATCTACAGGGACTTATGTTGAGTAAATATTACTCAAACTAATTCTAAAACAGTATTTGTCCTATTAAGACCTCGATATAGTCTCTGTCTAATGCGTTTCAACTGCTCCTTATTCTTGTTTACTTCCCAACAGCTAGCCTTTCCAACTGATGATCAGCTTACCACCACTTCTACTTTGCTATGGCTCATGCCCACCTTCACGGCTGTCAACTAGCTTCGGATGCTCTTAGGTGATGGGTTTCTCAATTCAGCCATACCAACCTCTCACCAAGACTTCCCTGCAGAATCACCAATGAGACACAGGAGGCAAAGACCTACCCGACTCTTTGCCCTGGAAAACTAGGCCTGGACAGAATCTCAGGGGCTAAAAGGATGACCAAATGAAAATGGTTATAGTTAGTTGGAAATGCAATATTGCAAGACTGGAGTTGAAAATACAGAAAAGTTGAGAGCTTTCATGACAATTGTCCTCAGTTGCCACCACACTAAGTGTAACAGTAAAATATGTAAAACCCATCCAGCAGCACAGCTGGGTGTAGGAGGAAGGAGCCCCCCGAGAACAAGAGAACAGGGAAGCTTGAGCATGTGGTCTCTCATACACACTATGGACACAGGTTTGTGTAACGAGGAGAATGGGAGGAGAGGCTATTTTGTAACACGGATCCTGGAGTGTGCCCCTTGGCAGCTCATGGACCCTGAAAAACAGCAGTGGTCTTCTCTGGCCACAAGGAGCAGAGACCACAGGTGATGCACTCAAGCCATAAGCAGCAGGCTGGTCCTTCAGAGTGGAGCCCTGGGAGGCTTGGCAGAGCTGAAGTGGAATGAACAAAGGTTAAATTCTCTTTCACTTACTTCTAAGTGACAGGTTTTAATTAAAGATAATTCACACTTCGGTTGAACTTATCAGTTTCTGCTGCTGACAGACTTGGAGACTCAAGAGCAGAACTGTGCAGCAAGAAGACCTGCCTGTGGATGGGGAGAAATGGTGGGAAGACGCACTTGTGTGCACCCACCAAACTTAAGAGGTGGGGGAAAGACACCGAAGGGTGGATACTATGGATGAACGTGGTCTTACTGTACCCAGGGATTTCAATGTTTTTTTCTCCCTTAAAAAGTCACTAAATAATTTGTCTTTTCGGGGGGAAAAAAAGACATGTGATCCCAATGTCACTTTTTTTTACTAGTTTCAAATATTACAGAAAGGTATTATTTTATGATACTAAAACTAGGACAGATGCAAGTGTTCCTGTTATTTAATTCAAAAACTGACACTGAGAGAATGAGATATGGACCAGGTCATGTGGAATGGAGGGTCCAGGGTAAAAAGAGAAACTCCAGTTCCTCCAGCCAAGACCCCCACCTGGCTCTAAGTGAGAGAGAATCTGACAACATCAGTGGCTTTTGCAATTCAAGCCATTCCCCCTTTGTTTGCCAAAGCTAAAAAAATTAAAGATGTAAAAAAATTATTCTTGCTAAATTTCTATTTCTGGGGTCACAGCTGCAGGAGCAAGATTAACATATGCTAAAGCTAGAACTACTGAAGGTTGATTGTGCACATTTTTTTCAAATGCAGCTTAATCGCCCAAGAATGCAGAATCAAATTTCAGATGTATTTAAAGCGTGAAAAATATTTATGTAATTATTGTCTTTCCAGATAAATATTAAAATCCCAAATCCATTCTACTTAAGGTCTCTGAATCTGTGTTGAACCCTATCTCCATACTAGGCTCTCAGCGCTCAGCAAAATTCTATCTACCCACGCAGGTCCCACTCAAATTCCACATCTTCCATGAAGCCTCCTCCTCATGCCCTAACAGCAATTAACGCTCATCTCTGTGAAACCCACAGCACTTTGTCTCCCTAATGTGGCACTTATGTGCCATGAATGGTAGTTACCTGGACGAGCACACATCTGATTTCCCCTGCTTTCCCATTGCACTGTACAATCCCCAAGGGAAGGAACCATAACTTACACATCAGCATATCTCCTCTAACAGCCTAGTGAAATACACCCTGCTTAGAGGTGTTAAGTGTATTTTTTAAATGAATGATGACTGCATGAAAATTCTCCTGGGCATGCAGGCTTTCCTTTTAAAGTTTTGTCTTAGACTATGGAAAGCAAGATTCTGCCGGTTGCACCTAGCCTGCGGCGACGACTTCACTACTAAATCACAAATGAATACCATCTGCTGTTCCTCTCTGCTGGGTCCCTCTGGAGATTCCCTTTAGGTTAATTGGCTACTCTGTTCTAGCCTTGACTTTCTCTCAGTTCTTACTCCTGGGAAAACCTCCTTTGGGCCAGGGTACCAGGATACTGGTTTCTAAGTTATATGTTCAATACCATATGTTTTTCCTCTTTAAGTTCCTGTTACTTTCTTTTTGGTTATCTTCATTTCCTCCCTCCTGAAATGTTCCTTTTCCAGGTCTCTCCTGAAACTATCTCCTTCGAGTCATCTACAGAACATAAGGTGAGCAGATGGTGCTGCGACGGCACCGCTAATTACCCCCTGAGAAAAACAGCCTTCTTCCCAAAGCAGGTAATTTGGACTAAAATAGAACTTTTGCCAGAATAACCCAGGTAAGTAGGGTGCTGAGCTTTTTACATATATAATCATATTTTATGCAATAGAAACCATCACCATTAGTTTTTGACAAAACCAGGCTGTTTCTTGCTCCCTACAATGAAGGGGGCCAACTTTAAAGGCTAAAATTAACTTGTTTCTATTCTAAACCTCCAACTCCATATCCAACAGTGCGTTTTGAGGCACCTGATCACAGCAGAGGAACCTGGGGACCTACTGACAATCATGTGCACTACTTCTTATATCTAGTTTTTAAGCATCATGACTTTTTTTTAATGTTTATTTTAAAGGAAATTCCTGAAGTGCAGTTGCCATCAGTAGGTAATTTGTTTGACTTTTTGGCAAAATCAATATTATATTCTTTAATCCAGGCTTAGGACACAATGGGAAAAAAAAAAAACAAAAATACCTCTTTGCTAGAAGGGAAACATTTTACCTGCACTTTCACTGGGCTCTTATTGTAGCTGCAAGCCATGATCTGCTGAAATACTTCTGACAGCAAGAGTAACTAGAGAGCTTTCAGTCCAAGAACAGGGCACTCTATGTCATCGGGCAAAAATGGCAAAAGGTCGTCCAAATGAACTTCACATGAGAGGAAGACAAGCAGTGAGAAATGATAATTGCCCTTTCCAACCCAGACCAGGTCCAATTACCATCAGTTCTTCTTAGTGGTGTTTCTCCTCTTTTTTATCTCGTGTAAGAGTTTGATAACCCAAAGGCTGTAATTGCATTGTAAGGCTAATTAAAAGGGAGGCTAGGATTTTAATATGTATCCCCAACACAAAAGCCAGGTATTTACTGCGCTTGGTTAAAATTTCATTTAAAAGAGGTTTCAAAAATTAAAATAACTCTATGTATCTGCTTTCTTCTCTTCTAGTAACGCAAAGCAGAACAGGAAAAAAAAATACAGATGAAAAAGCTAATTCTAAACACGTCAGCCTCATCAATGTTACGGATAGATAGGTGACAACCAATTTTATAATAAAGAACCTGTGTTTTCTGATTCAGTGTTTCGGCTCTTAACT